GTTGATCAGTGTATGTGTCTGTGTGTGTGTCAGTATGTTGTCAGTGTATGTGTCTGTGTGTCAGTATGTCTGTATATGTGCCTGTGTCAGTATGTCTGTCAGTACGTCTACCAGTGTATGTGTCTGTGTGTGTGTCAATATATGTACCTGTGTCAGTGTGTCTGTCAGTGTATGTGCCAGTTTATCTGTATGTAGTCAGTGTATGTATCTGTGTATCTGCTTGTGCGTCAGAGTGTGTACCTGTGCATCTGAGCCGCAACTTTAAATACAAATACACCCCTCCATTCAAACTTCAACACTACATATAAAACACACTCCTGCATTGAAACATCAACACTACATACAAGCACACTCCTACATTCAAAAACAAACACTACACATAAATGCACACTTGCATTCAAACTCCAGTACCACATACAAACACATTCACACAAACATACTCCATACAAACACATGCTTACATTCAAACATACTAACATGGCTCAGTGCTAAATACAACCCTGCAAGCATGGGAAATTGGTAGAGTCCCAGCTGTCAAAGCATTGTTGGAGTTGCACGACAGATGGGGTTCTACCTTTAGTCCAACCTTGCAATTGGGGGTCCCAATAAAATTCATTCTACTTTAGTACCGCCACTGCGTTGGGATGGATGCCGTGATTGCATACCAGGGAGTGAGGGGCGAGAGCGGCAGGGCACAGGGGGCCCAAGCAAACACTTGCCCAGGGTCCATTCGTTATTAAAGACGGCCCTGTTCCCATGTCTCCGGCCCAAAACATGACTCCATCACCGCCTTGCTGACGTCGCAGCCTTGTTGGAACAGGGTGGCCGTCCACCAACCATTCACTACTCCATCCATCTGAACCATCCAGGGTTGCACGGCACTCATCAGTGAACAGGACTGTTTGAAAATTAGTCTTCATGTATTTTTCTGCCCAATGCAGCCATTTCTGCTTGTGAGCATTGGTTAGTGGTGGCCGAAGGTATACCTTGATGTCCGTGGGACTCCAGAGGCACCAGCTGCTTCAAATATCTGTTTGCTGCTATGTAATGGTATTTTAGCAGCTGCTCTCTTGATCTGATGCATGGATCTGGCAGAAATCTTCCTCAATGTGCCTTTATCTGCACAAACCCGTCTGTGCTCTAAATCAGCCACAAATCTCTTAATAGTGCGATAATCACGCTTAAGTTTTCGTGAAATATCTAATGTTTTCATACCTCATCCAAGGCATTGAACTATTTCACTCTTTTCGGCAGCAGAGAGATCTTTTTTTCTTCCCCATATTGCATGAAGATGGTGCTCTGCTTAATAATGTGGAACATCCTCATTTAGTAGTTTTTCCTTAAATTGGGCTCACGTGGCAATCTAATTATCACAGGTGTTCGAGATTGTTTTCAGTGATCAAAAGAGCCCTGAGACACAATGCCATCCATGAGTTAAACTGAAAAACAAAATATTTAATCTTTGTGACACTTAAATCGAATTAGCATAATAATTTGGAACAGGGTGTATGGGACACTTGCCTACCATCCAGGGGCATCGGCTGAGTGGGTCTGTGATGGATCAGCAGATTCCCCATAGCTATACCAGCTCTATAGTCTAATTTTATGTAGTATTGCTATCTAAGTGATGTGCTATGATTACAATTTATGTCTTGTCCCTATTAACACTGTTTAGTTATTGGCTACTAGCTGCATTCTACTTAATTTGTATACCTACTCTCACAGGCAGCAGGCTAATACCATACTCTAACACTGCATGGCTGGATATAAGTTGCATGCTATTCCTGCTAATACTGTGCTTGTGCCCTGATCATATATTACAACTAATTATCTGCAACAATTTACGCTGGCCACCCAGTGGTATTTAAAACCTTGAATGTTATGTCTAATTCTGCACGATATTGTTGTGAAATCTTTCTCTGCTTTCATTACATGGTAGAATTGTGAAGTATGTTTATTTACCCCAAAAATTGTGCTGACCTATCAAATGTCATGATAATGTTTATCTGAAATTGTCCTTATAAGCTTGTACCTGTTGTTGTGGCATTACAAGCCTGTTTGTTACTCTAAGCACAGAAAAATACATAATTATTTAAAAAAAAAAAAATAGTTGTGTCTGTGGCTGAGCTGGAACATTTGTCCAGATCAGATATTTTTGCCTCCATTCAGATTTTATTTGCAAATATTCAGTTTACTGAATAAGTCTGATAGTGGTTATGCACTTTAAAAAATAATAATAATTTGTATTCATAGTGTGAGAGTAACAACTTTATATGAAAATATTTGTTACAAGACTATCCTAACTTAGCTGGAAAGACTTAAAGTCACCACTGCAAGTTCGTTTGGCAGCAGGTTAACCAGCCACTGTTCTTCTTTTCTACAGGACAAATGAGACCACACTCCCTGCATCCCAGATTAATGAGGTAGATGTCCCAGCGGGTGCCATGGGTACTGAAGTGAGGCCCACGTAGATCTTGAATTTCTTTCTTAATGGAATAAGTATATTCCTCGTCCTCTGAGGAGCAAAGGCTACCCACAAACTGCATGGGAATCCACAAGATTATCAGTGTTCTGATGCTAATGAGTAGGCCTCAGCGGGCGCCTGGTATTAGGGTTTTGAGGTTCAGAGGAGCATATCCCTAATGTCACTGTGTATGCCCTTGTTGGGGTTCCTAGCTTACAGAACGGCTGCAAAAGCTGCAAAGAAGGATGTTGTGTGTTATAGTACACTATTCTGATAAATAAGAAATTATGGAGTGTGGTAGATATCCCTTTAATATCCTTCCTCTTGGGTTAATTTGGAATAGAAGGTTTTGAAACCATAATTGGAGAAGATTTAGCAACACAAAAGAACTTTACTTGGTTGTAAAGCAATGAATGAGGTTCTTTATAGATAACGGTATTCTAATTACTTTAAGGAAGCTTTGTTCTGAGAAAGGGTTGATCTCCAATAAAATGAGCAATTCCAAGAGACATGCCATGTCAGAATTCAGAAGACTTATATTGAGGGAGCATGCAATAATCAATTTCCAAAGTTCGTTCCAAGTCAGAAGCTAGGTAGACAAATAATTAGGGAGTATCCAACATGCAATTTTCAAAGTCCCATCAGAGTAAGATGCCAGGTAGACAGTTTAGGGAGTATCCAAGAAGCAGTTTCCAAAGTCCTGTCCAAATCAGCAGCCAGGTAGACAAATAGTTCCCAATTCTTGTCTAAGTCAGATTACTGTGAGAATTCAAATCAAATGAAATACTTTTGGTTAAGATGAATCTGTTAGAACACTATAAGAAGGAGTGTTTGGGACCTTGAGCGCTTAACCTTCAGGAAGGAAACAGTATTATGCAAACAGGATAACACATTATCAGTGCGCACAGGCAATAATTTATTATGGTTGGTTGTGTTCGTTAGTGTCTCTTAAAGAAACAGTACCATTTTAATAAAATTTCCGATTTAATTCTTTGTAATCCTGACAAAGGAAAAGGACTCTGAGAATGATGAAAGTCTTTGAAGAGTACTATTCTTCTGGGCTATCAGGGATTAGGGCATGCCCCATCTGTCATCCAAACCAGTTTCCCTTAGGACATTAGTGAGGGGGTCCCATAGTGCATCGCTTCAGCAGGCACCTGAGATTGTTTAGATGGACATATCACAATGCTTACTGGATCTACATCTGCTGCTAAGCTCCAGCACGTTATGCATTTTTATGGAACAACTATTTCCATTATCAGTAATCAAGAAATCTAGGGCATCAGTTAATCCATCATTGATGGATAATGGTAATAACTAAAATTGGTATTATTTTAAGGGGATACAACTATCAATGCCTTTAGTTATATAGGGGCATGTAGAAGGTTACAATTCTTTTTATTTTATTTTTTAGTCATGGACCCTTATGTCAAAGGGATTGGGCATTCTTTGGTGAATTTATTGTAGAGGTGCACAGCGACTGCACATTCCTCTGATAAAATATTAGGTGTTGTTCCAGTTTCATATTTTTTTAAAACGGAACACTTTGATAAATCTCCTCAATTGTTTCTATGAGTTCAGCATTTATTATATAGTATCAATGTAAATAATGTATATTGTATGTAAAAAGTTAAAAATTGATGGGTTAGCAGTGTGAATAAGACCTGCAAATATAGTAATATCTCAAGTCTTACTTTCCGCAGTTCATAAAAAAACACCCCATGTCTTTCATGAAAGGAAGAAATTGAAGACTGCATGATTTCCCTTTACTTTTCATTCAAAAATGAATCAAAGTAATAGTGCTTTTAGGTATACACTCACAATGCATATTCTGCTGTGCCACCCAATTGTGTCTGCAGGAGAGTATCAGCTCAGCCACTAGTATATAGGAGAATGCGGATAGTAAATAAAATAAGCCATGTTTCCTATTTAGCTGAAATGGTACCAATGATAAAATGGAGTCCATGGAGTTTGCTGCGGTGACTGCCTTATTGGCAATGCAGCCAAAAGATCATTTCTAATTGGAAATATTGACCAGCAGCCTTCATTGTTTGATCAGGTGTATTGATGTCAGGTTTAACAAAGACCTATCCAGGCCAATACATTGCCCCTACCTCCTAACAGCCTGACAGAGACATATCCAGGCCAATACATTGCCTGTTGCCCCTACCTCCTTACAGCCTGACAGAGACATATCCAAGCCAGTACATTGCCCCTACCTCCTAACAGCCTGACAAAGACCTATCCAGGCCAATACATTGCCCCTACTTCCTAATCCCCTTATGTAGCTGGACAATCCACCCCAGTAAGGGGAGATATTTGAGTCTCTCCAGTAGGACTTCAAAGTGCTACAGTGCCCCAAAGAGGTTTAAACCCTTAACCAGATTACAGGCTTTAACCTTACGATGACATCCCTATGCAGAGCAGTAATTATTAATTGGATTGATATATTTTTTTTATTTGTAGTTTAAGCACATTTTAAGAAAAGTTTGAGTTTTCACATATTTTTATTGACAAAATAATTTGCTTTAGTGACATGTAAGATTTTTACGCAGCCTGTATCGTGACAAAACACTGTGAAGCATTGCTATATATAACATGAACAATGCCTGAATTACAGTCTCTCCATTCCATCTGTGTTGATTCATACTTTCCATCACACACACTGCTGGTTACTTGGCTCCCATTCCATCTCTTGGAGACTATAAATAGAGGAACAGAGCTTTCCTAATCACAAACCTTCTAAACACAATAAAGATATGGACATTGTCTACAAAATGGTTTAATTTATCCAGAAAAGTGGAAAAATATATACAAACTACAAGAGAAAGTATTTAAAAAGGTCAAACTATGGCTATCTTACCATTTTCTGTACGCTAATATTAAGCCATAGGTAATACTACGCCTTTTAACATGAGCTCAGTTCTACAGAATAGCTCGAATCATCAGATGCTGCAGTAAACTACAGTTTGGCATCTTAAACCAACAGTCAATAAGTTTCGCCAACCCCAGGGGTCCAAGATGTTCAGACAGTTATTTGTAGTGAACACCTGAAGAAATTTCACAATTTCTATTAATAACAAAACCTATATATCAACTGTCAAAGTTTATCCACAAAGCTATACACTACTCTTTGGTTACAAATATAGAATGTTATCCCGTCTGACCTTACAATATCTTATGTCCTGAGGGTGTAGTGACATCTTTTTCCATCTGCAACAATGGTGACTGTGAAGAAACCCCCTGTTTCCTATGTTCTTTACCCCTTGCATTCCCTTTTTATCTCCCTTTCTACTTATTGCATTCGGTAGATGGAACTACCGAACAAAGACCACCCCTCTGGCTCATTAAACATCAAAGTTTGGGTGAAATTGCTACCTCTGTATGTGCGGCCAGCGTTCGTCAGTCGAACGCCATGTGGCAGAGAAAACCGCGGCCATCTTTGTTCATGGACCTGGTCGTTGAGTGCATGGAACTAAAAACGTACGCTCGACTTCCCGAACACCGGTCCCAAACAGACGAACACTGGAACTCCATTTACCGAATAGCTAGAAGAGCGCTATTCGGTACTTTGGTGTATTCGACAGAGGGGCACGAACGCTGCTAGGAGCCAGAGGGATCCATTCGGTATTTTATTCGTTTTTGTGCTTTTTCGAAAGTGACCGGCAAAACCCACCAAAGTCATGGAACTGTTTTGGGCATACAGCCCAGGGTGAGCCGGTCACAAGAAACTTCCATAAATTTTGCGAACCTCTAAACCGATCTGGGTGAAATTCGGATATGTTGGTCGCCCAGATCAGGGCAATCAGGGGACATATAATTTATGGGGATACCCCCAGTATAAAGGGGTGTTCTAGGTATTGGGGAAAAATTTGATTTTTCAGCCCGGAGATAATTAAGTTACTATTTTATCAGACTGAATTATCTCCTGGGCTAGGGGAGGGAATTGTAGGTGTGTGTTAAAGTTTTACTGTATGTGATTGGTTAATGTTTGTCCCTCCCTGAGGGCTGTCCCCTTGCATGGGGACTTGCATAAAAGCTGTGTGCACCCATTAAAGGCTAGTTCATTTTGTACCCTTCTTCTTGACTTCGGCTGATGTTTGGGGATTTGTGTGTTTCACTAAGGGAATTATCTTGTGAAGCTATTGGGATTGCTATAGGATTTGTCTACCCTATCTACCGAACGGAGGGCTATAATCACTAAGGCTCTGGCGGTTCGGGAGGAAACTACCGAATGCGGTTTAAATATACTTGGTTTCCTTACAGTGACCTTGATTAATTATATAGGGTTTATATAGGGCTCCATGTGGCATCAAGCAATGGAAAATAGATTAAAATCTCAATAAATACTGTTATTCATATAGGGCTCTGAAGTGGCTATGGAGCCAGGGGTTCCCCTGCCACCCCCTTTTTGTATCTTGCCAAGTTTAGCAGATAGTCCAAGTGGACAAAACAATCAAGCAATTAATGAAGTCACCAGATATTAAAGCCTTTTGAATAAGGTTAAGCAAGTTACAAATTCCATAGACTCAGAAAAACAATTAATTCAAATCACAAGACTGCAAATGTGAATTGTAATGAAGACAGTGTTGACATGTTTATAGAGTTGAAAATATCTATTCACTTTACAACACGCAACTCCATGTGAAATAATTGATGCTGAACTGTTAACTGGCGAAGATATTTTAAACTTCCACTTTGGTCCTCTGTTAAGTGAATTGCTGATAATAGACAGGGATTTTTTTTGTTGTTTTTACTAAAATGAGAATTCAAAGTGAATTTCAAATTTAAAGGAACACTATGGGGTCAGGAACACAAAAGTGTTCCTGACCCTATAGTGTTAAAAAAAAAAAAATCTAGCACCCCATAATAAAGTAAAATCTTATCTTTATTCCAGTCTATTGCTGGCTCTGTCCCTGATCTGCCTGCTTGTCTGACATCATCAGAAGTGGTGTTCTCAGCTAATTTACAATGCTTTCACATAGGAACGCATTGAATTGGCTGGGACTGTCAAGGAGGCAGATCAGGGGCAGAGCCAGCACAAGCCAAACACAGCTCTGGCCAATCGGAATCTCCTCATAGAGATGCATTGAATCAATGCATCTCTATTTAGAAAGTTCAGAGTCTCCTCGCATCCTGTGGAAGCACCTCTAATAGCCATCTATGGAGTTATCCCTAGGCTGTAAAGTACACACTACATTTTGTCTGAAAAGACAGTGTTTACATTAAAAAACCTGAAGGGAAGGATTATACTCAGCAGAACAAATGCAATAAGCTGTAGTTGTTCTGTTGACTATAATGTCTCTTTAAGGCTAAATTAGCCAAACTGGAACAGCTTTTTAGTGAATAACCCATGTAATTAATCATGAAAACAATTTGTTTCAAGAGGATCTATGTGACCTTTTGGATGCTTTTTTCACAATAAGGCATTATGAAATTCATTATTGTGACCACACCTGTAGCAAAAAACTGAAACCGGTAATTCAATTAACTATTTATTATTACCATTAAAGATTATTTTGCTGTTGTGTATAGATTTGAATCAAACACCGCTTTAGAAAAGCACACAAGAGGCCTTCTACACATAGACTATATAACATTTTTAACCATACCCAATATTAACAAATACCAGTCATTATTAGACATTATTTGTGGACCCAGGACATACTTGAAAACGAGAGAAATCTCAATGTATCTTTCCTGGTAAAATATTTTATAAATAAATAGAATAAATAAATTGTGTGGAATTAAACTACTCTCCTTTGAATCAATCATATTTCCTGGGATATATTTCAATGTTCTATTGATTTGCTTTACAGAAGTGACCTTCTACTATACTTTCATTCATGCAATCATTATATTTTAGTTTCTCGTGAAATGCTTTACCATGACTTATTTACTTCTATTTCACATCAAAACAATTGTAAAAACATTTCTCAACAATCTTTAGTTATATTTTTATACTTGCTGGAAACAACAGAGAAGCACAGAGAGGCATCACGGTAAACGTTTTTTTTAATTTCAATTAAAACATTCTTGTAATGATTTACATGTGCTTTTATAATTTATACAGTTTATTTCTGTAATGGACCAGTTTGGCAAAGTACTGTAACATGTATAGCAAAAAGACTACTAAAAGGACTACGTATTCTATACTAATAATGTATAAACCGATACCTTACAATCATTAGTAGTGGATAAGAATGGAAAAACGTTCTAGTTAGCATAATACAGAATACTGAAACTGTTTCATTACCAGTCTTCAAAAACCATGTGTGGTCCAGGAGTCAGGATTTGTGAAACTGTAAATCGTGGGCAGTTACTAGTTATTATGGATGGTGATGCTTCATTAAGCCAAACCCTTTTGGATTTTATAACTAGACCACGTAGATGTTTCAAACATTTTTGTAATGAAAACCATTCTACTACGGCTTATGTTTCACAGTCCAGCAATTGTTTGATTTGTTTCATAGGTCGCTTCTCTCCTAATGTGTGCTGTATACGTAGACAGGGTTACTTACCAAATTTAAGGTCAAACTTGCTGAATGCTTTAGTTTGGCTACTTTGGCTTACATTTTAAATTTACTTTGAATTCTTGTTTTAGTAAATAATCCTGTTGATACTGTGTCAGAATAATCAAATGTGATGCTGGGTCCTCTTGGGAAGTCTGTGATTGGACAGCTACAGAAAGTCTGGGCTGGGGTAGAAGAGGTGGGCTTGCAAATACCAAAAGAAGAGATCAGCAGCTTTTGCAAGCTATTTTAAGCTATACACCCAATACATAAATACATGCATAATTAAACGCATGCATGTTTTCATTGGTGGGATATCTACATACAGTGCTTTTAAAATTTATTTGCTTATTTAATGTAGCTCGCCAAAAGAATTAACAAATAAAAGTATATGTGTGCGTGTTTGGTACCTTTAGATATATGATAGAATCCAGAGGCCTGATCTTACAGTAAAGTTCAGTTCACAGTTTATTAATTTAAAAGGGTTTAAGAATCTAGAAAAAAAATACTTTTTGTCTGTCCTTCGTATAACTAGTGCAGCATTATAGTATCCCTTCCTCAATTGAGATTAAATTAATAAACAATTTAATTGCCACAGTAATTAGGGATACAACACCTCCATGCAAAGCTTAGTTGTACAGTTGTGACATGAATAGAATTTAACAGAAGTTAACAATGAATATTAGAAATGTAACCTGAGCCATATGGACACTTTTACATTAACAATCATGAATATAGCCCTGCATTAAATTTGGCACCTAAAAGAGCAATAAAGTGTTTAAAGGGACACCAGATTTAACAAAGTGTTGGTGATATGCTCCCTTTAAAATGTTATCTATTAATGGCACTGACACTCCATAGTTACATAACCCCTACCTAATCCATTCTTTTTTTAATATATATACAAATGGAAGGCTACAGTTTGTTATTTGCTAAGTTGCTCTGTCTTGTATTTCCGGTGTGCCTCCAGTATTTCTGTAACAATATTTGGATCCTCCAGTGTGGTTATATCACCCAGGTCATCCGTTTGATCAGTGGCAATCTTTCTCAGCACTCGCCGCATAATTTTCCCGGAACGTGTTTTAGGAAGACGTTTCACAATCTAAAAAAGAAATAAACACATGTTATAATTATGAACAACTACGTTATTCAACGTTTTCAAATGTCAAGTTTAATAAACTAGCAGAGATCCACAAATGCACTGAGAATTCTGTCATTCTGTCTGTATCCATCTATCATTTTACCCATCTATGTATTGATCTACTTTTGTGTTCTAAACAAAATGTAATAAAATATTAAATTTGACAGTCCCCACAACAGTAATCACCTATGTAAACAGTATTTAAGGTTTAAACAACTAGTGTGTTAAATCGAATGACGTGTCTTTTCCCATGCAGTAACACACAAAGTACCATTTTTCAATGATTTATTTTATCATACGACAGCCTTCACTCACCAAAATGTGATCAGGAATAGCATACTTTGCAATTTTTGTCGCTACTATAGTTTTGAGCTCTTCTTTGATTGCTTGTTCAGGACTATCCAGGTTGTCTTTCAACACAACAAAAGCAAACGCGGCTAAAAGACAAAAATATAAACAGTTTATGAATAAATAATAATGTGTGTGCATTATAGATGTTATGTCTAAAATTCCCATGCTGAGTTGGATAATTTTTACAATACGACCGGTTTGGCCGTATTGAAATTGGTAGTTTGTCCTACTCTCCAACCTCAGAGTGTATTAGGTGTAGTTTTTATTTGGGGCTCGGCATCTGGTTTACCAGTCACTGTACATCAATCTATGCCATGTCATATAGAACGTCGTATACCGTTAGTAAACTGCAAAAAATACAGTAATGATACAGCAATTTTCCATTTATACGGCTGGTTATTCTAAGTTTACGTTCATACACCTGGTTATTACCCTTCCTATTCAACAAAGTTAAAGTTATGCTTCCACCTATACAGACACTTTTTAAATAGTGCTAATTTAATGGCCACTGTTGGTTCCATTGAAGAGGATTGTATGTATCCTTACAAATTAAATTTGGAAATAAAATAAAAATTCTAAGCAGAAAGTATTCAATGTTTCGGCCCCTCCCTGGGCCTTTCACAAGATCTTGCAAAGTAATAATCACATTAAAAAATTGCTGAATAAAAGATTTTTGTTTGGATAAAAAGTCCTGAGAGTGCTTCTATGATTTATTTTCATAAGCATTGATAAATGGAGATACCAAGATATTTGGAAGTAAGGTAGAGTGCCAGTAATTGTGATAGACAGACAGACAGATATAGATACAATTGAAATGTGCAAATATTCGTTCTGGGATGCTCGGAAGAATGAAATGCCATATATGGACGAATCAAACTGTCTGAGATTTACCTGAGGAGTTATGTTGGTAAACATACGATTGTAGGGACAAACAACATTACAGATAAACACTCAAAGACACACAAACTGTTACACATACTATCATCTACACACACTAATAATGCTACACATACATACACAATATTACACATACACACTCAGACACTCACATATACACACAAATTGTTACAGATACACACACTATTACACATATACATGCAGATACACACTTATACACATTTACGTAACAATCTATTATACATATACACACATTGTGACCCCAGCAATTGGCTGACTTTCCCTCGTTGCCCAATTTATTTGCTCTGCACCTCCTCTGGATGCAGACAGTGTAAATTTCTCTTCTGAGTTTCTGCATTCAGATTGTTGCCTTGTAACCTGCAGCAACACTCTGAGCAGCTGAAACTCACAGGAGCCATGCCAAAAGTTTGCTCATAGCAGAGGTACTCTCTGGCTATTTTGCCATTCATTACTCCAAACCCCAATTGCCCTGTTCTGGTCAGGCTCATAAGAGGGGACTTTTTTGTACTTTCATTTACTTTTTTTGTACTTTATTAACACACGCCTCCATTTGATATGTTAATAAAGCCATATTTAGTGACTAATGAATTTCCATTGTACTGCATTTTAATGGAAACGAAGGCTAAAACTGTGTTTTATAGCCATTGTGTAACCCAGCAACGTAAAATATTATATAAACATCTTCTGGTTAATTCCCTTATCTCAGAGTTAATTGCTGCGTAGAGAAATAAAAAAGGTGACTGAGGCAAT